AAACATTTAGGTTTCCAACAAGAATTTCCTGACGTGGAGAGGGATTCAAATGTGGTTAAAGCAGATCTCAACACGAGCAACGAACCCTACTGTTCGAAAGTCATTATCAGATTCTGTGCAGCATTTTGTGTACAGTAGCCTTCACTACTGCCCCCCCCCCCCCCCCCGATTGTAGTCCACGATGACTGACAAAACACCACCAACTATTGGGATATGAATTATGTGTCCCATTCAACAGTTAAGCCCAACATGTAATCCACACAGAAGGACGGCTCAGCCCAAGAAACCAAATGAATGATTGCAGCTACAAAATGTGTATTTTCAAATATTGGAATTACATAGATATGATTTTTTTATGGTTTTATTTTCTAACTGGCACACATTTAAGAAGTTTACAGCTGATACGTGTAAAGTGATCCATTCAGAATAAGCTGGCTGAGAACACTGACCCCTCATATTGAAGCTGGTATGAGAATTGACTACTTCCAGTCATCATCCATGGCCAGTGGTGACCTTTGACCCCATGGCACTGTGTTGGGGCTGATTGGATATTGGCTATATATATTGCCTGCAGGGTCACCAGGGTCATACAGTTTGTCTCACACAGGCGACGCCTACCTCAGCCTGCATGCGTTCAACGGGGAGGGTCTCAACATCGCCCCCTCTCTGCAGCCGCAGGTATGCACTGAGGACAGCTGCAGAGTTGTTCTCAATGCCGTTAACCCAGCCCCCCCCAAAATCCCTGGATACCTACCCTTAGCCTAGCTACTTTTGACCCTGACCTTTCACCAGATCCCATCCTCACTTTACCTTTGACCCTTTCAATTCCTTCCAACACAAACACACAGACTTCACTCAAGAGGCTAATGTCGCTTTGTTTAAGACTATTTAAATTTGTATTATTGCATATTCCTCTGGAGTTACATGTACAGAGTCCATATTTATTTGTTAAAAGAGCACAGGGTCAGCCTCAGCACGGGACCTTTTTAAGAGGTATAACGGCCTTCCTCAAGACTCTAGTAGCAACATAGAGGCGAAATATTCCCATCCGGGGATTGAACGAGCAATAGTCAGTTTCTCTACCTCTGGGTTGTCCTGCACCTCCAACACTTACACAGCCCCGAGTCTTTTTAGTCCTCGTTTTCCCCCTGTCCTTCCACACATTCCCCCATCCCATCTCTCCATATGTTCATCTCCTGCGTAGAGCAAGAAGAAATTTCTTCAAAATGAACTGTCCCTGTGATTGTCTGTTAATAGATGTTCAGTTTTGTTGTTCAGGAGAAATCCACAGACTTCTGCTGTTGGGCACTACATAGTCACGTGGTGGTGTCATGGATTGTAGTTGATCCGTACAGACAACCCCCTAATTGGAGCATAAGTGGTTTAATGGCCACAATGTTTACTGGTCGTACCAACTATTTTTAAACGTGACAGTTCCTGTTTCACAGTTTTGATGCTTACAGTAGAGGTTTGTGGATACTATCACTCTTCTGTTCAGCCTGTGGTTGTGTAGTTAAATCAGTAGTTTGGAGCATTAACATTTATTTAGTTGTCTAGTTGTGGTGTTTAAGTTTGTGTTGAAATTTGTGTGTGTTTTGTGTCTGACAGGTGGATACCCTGCACCGTGCTACACACCTGACGGGCGGCTATGAGGAGCTGTCGGGTAGTGGCCTCTACACCCCTCATCGCCTGGATGTGAGTACCAACTTTTGTGGCGTAGCTGAGGAATAAGTTTGCAGTTAGTCAGGATACCTGCACATATGTGAGTTTGCTTGAAAGGAATTCGGGTGGATGAACTGGACTACAATGCATGCAAAACTGTTCTGATTAGCTGCATAGCCAGATTCCTGAGTAATCTGGTTATTTGGTGAAACTTGATGGCATGAGAACAGTGAATGTAATCAGCTGTCATCATGTTTTAACAGATTGGTATTTCTTAGAATGAACAGCATTTTGTATGCAGAATGCAGCCTGTAAGCTATCTTGAGGCTATGTCCTTTGGCTAGTAAGCACAAATATAGCTGATATAGACTACTAATTATAAAACTCCTTCTTCATGCAGAATACTCTCTTCCCTGACTGTTTGCAGGCTAACAGCTGGCAGGACACCACCAACCCCCCCTCGGTCACCTCCCCTCCTGGTCCTCCTGGCAGCGTCCACTCCGACACCTCCAACTGATTCGGTGGCTCTCCCTGCCATCACTTCATTCCCACTGTGGTCTGCTCTGACTACCATCTTCTGTCCTTGTTTTTTCACTATTCCCTCGTCTCTCAAGTACACAGCCACACAAGGCTGTACTCGCATCTCATAAACACAAACTGTGCTGGAACACAGGACAGCCGAACAGTAGTTAGGAGGAATTCTCCCTCCAGCCCACAGCTCCACTTCCATGCTAGAAGCTCCTAAACTCAGAATAAAAAGAGGCACGGAGCTTACTGATGCCGAGACAGATAAGACAACATCTTTACTTTCAAGGACTTTTTGAAAACCACTGACCCAGCCGTGTAGGTGATCATGATGTCTGTACATTATGTGTATATGCACGTTAACTTCACACAGTACTCACACAGCTTGTCCATGTGCTGTTGACCTCTGCACTCGACCCTTTGCTTTGGAAAACTGTGTGTGATTGCCTGTATCTCTTGAAGCCTTGGCATTTGACAGCCAAACTGTTGATACGGATCACCAGGGAGCTCTGCTCACCTTGCTCGTACCAAAGTGCTGCCCCGGTAGTTGTCAACACATCTGTTCCTCCGAGATCACCCTCTGCCAACTCAACACAAGACACTGTTGTATCTCCCAGTCCTTATAGCTTGCTGTTTCATTCTGTTGAAGATTTCAAAGTGAATAATTGAGATGTGCACTAATGTGCATGCACCCTCCTTCCGTAACACATACACACCTCAAAACGTCGTTTTCATAGTGAGCTGACATAAAAGATGTGTCAAGCACAAAAGTTAGCATCCTTGTTATGGGTGTCTACCTGTAAAAAGGTAGTTAAGGGGATCACTGTTCTAAAGCAGACAGGACAGGTGATAACAGGGCTGGTGAGAAGAGGAGGAAAGGGCAGAGAGGAGAATATCGTTTGTTGAGTGGATGTAACTAAGAGCCCTTTTTTGTTGCTAACCAATAGAGGGTGTTGGTAGACTGCTTGTAGACTTAACTTCTTGCTTTCTGTCCACTAGTTTATTTGATTGTAGGCTATTTTCTAATGCTGTTTCACCAAGAATGCACCAGCCACCACCAAAAATGAGCTCAGTAAAAGCATCTAAATGACATTAGGAGGAGGGTGGAGAGATTGTGGGGCACTGATGTGTTATTGGGACAAACGTGACATGAATTTAGAAACGTGACTGTCTTCCATGCATGTAGGACTTCTAGGCGTGATATTATTGTTTTCATTTAACCTTCCGAGTTTTTAGCTTTGTTTTTATTAACAAAAAAAAATAAAAGGGTATAATTATTACAGTCAGACCAAAAAGGAAAGTGCATCATGTATTGCTATGATGTGTGTCTCTCGTGTGGGCGTGTGTGTACAGTGTTCTTGGGATGTCTTAGTCAAACTGGCCGGTGCCCTCTGACCTTTGTAACTATTAGAGACTGGGTGCTTCCGCCAGCCAATGACACACCGGGTGGGGTTCAACTGAGATCTCCTCCCCATCTTGAAACATTTTAAGCTTGTGAGCCCGAGGCAACACACTACAACCTTCTGTTGTAACAAAACCAAAAATAACCACGTTCAGCAATGTAATAATGCTACTCTGTGTCTCTCTAAAGTTGGTGCACAGCCAGCTTTTTTCAGTTTGAGGAGAGGAGGGAATTATATTTGTATCTGTGTGTCTCTGTGTGGTGTTGTCATGCCTCAAGTTGATTTGATTTATTTGGGGGCGGGGGGTTGTTGTGGGGCGTCATGGGAGGGTGGATGGAGTGAGGACTGTCATCACACCTGTAATTTGATTGTGAGCATAGAAGGTATGCTCTCCCCTTTTCCCATCCTTTTTAATACCTTATGGTAAAACCACAACTATTGTTTGTAGTTCCATGGCCAATTGGGCAAGGGCTTCTCTCTCTCCTGTTACCAAAAAAAAAAGAGGCAGCACTGGGTGTAGTAAAACTCTTAACTTGTGTTTAAGAAAAACCTGCAACGTTTTTGGGGATTTTCATTCTTTGGAACTATTTTATACATTAACTGTTCTGTGAATAACAAAGCATTTTGATAGTAAGGTAAAGCCTTATGAAAATTTAAGTGTCAGTCAAGACTTTATTGAACCATATGTTACAGAACAAAACTTGAGCTTATAAGCTGGTCACGTGTGATATCCCGCATCTAATTACTTGTTTTGTTACTCATCGCAGTTCATACGACTGTATCTTATAACGTTATCGCCACACCAAATTATCATGCCCCCACCCCCCTCCCCCCACCCCGTTTTCTACCTGTTGTAATGGATGTCACTGTACAGTTTGTGTAATGTTTCAGTATTTTTTTTTTTCTTTTATAAACTTTGATGTTTGGTTGAGATGCCAGTTTTATTTGGCCTTTGTGTCACAGGATTCACAATAACTCTGTATCAAGTTTGAATATTATTTAGGACTTTTTGTTACATAACCAGGTGGCAATGTAGGGTTCACAGGTGTAACATTTGGTGCTGTGGGATTTAATCAGCTGAGGTTCTCTAGCAGACATTGATTTATGGACCCCCTTCCTAGCTGATCTCCCTTCAGTTTCTACTTTTTCCACACTTCCCTAGTCAGTCACTTATATATATATCCACCCCTTTGTGCTTCATTAAATTTAAAAGCTTTTCTGAAACCTGAAATCATGCCATTAAATCAGAAATGTGTGTTTATGGAGCGGTTTAAGCAGTACATTTGCATGCAGGATGTTAATACTAAATGTAGTTTTAATTCTTGTGAAACAGGAAGTGAGAGACCTTCACATTAAAGCAGATGGTCTACGCTACACAACGTGTACCACATATCAAGGCTGAGTTCTTACCGCTTCTTCCCTGCCTTTCCAGTTTCCCTGTCAAATAAAGCCAAAAGCAGAAGTCTTTAAAAAATAATGAGTACAGAGACGTCAGTGTATGCATTGTATTTTTGCAACAGATTTACAATTCTAAAACATAGATCTTAATTTTATGTCTTACTATTGATCATGTTTAAATCTTGTTTTGATTCTGCAAGTGACTAAATGACTTCCACAGCACCAAATGGTTTAACCCTTTTTAATTTGTTTTTATTAGTATTTGTATCTCCCCTCTTTCCCTTGTATTTACCCCTCTCTCTACCTCTGTCTTTCCATTTCTCTTGTATATAACCCCCACTGTTTTCAGACGTGTGAGTCTGTATGAACTCCTTTTATACCTCAACTTTAGAATTGTTCTAGAAAGAGTAAAAACAAAAAGGAAGAATATGACAAATTGTAGTGTTCTTATTAGAAAATTAATAAAATGATTTAGTGTGATTTTTTTTCAGTATCTGATTTCAGAATTTAGGAGTGTTTCATTTTATAATTTGTCACAAATGCTATTGTGATAGTCAAATAAAAGGAGAGATTGCACCATCTGATGCTTAATATGTGAATCTGTTGGCCTCATTGACGGTGAGGAAAACACTCTACATGGATTAAAATCCCTTTCAGCCTTTTAAAACATGCATTTAAAATTTTAATTCAATTCACAAATGCAAACATGGAGGAGAGGTAGTTTGGCAAACGTTGGCTGATATCCGGCAGAAAAACTGAAGAATCCGTTAATTTTACACTATGTGCTGGTTAGATGAGAGTAAAATTATTAATTACAGGTCATCATACCCCTCGCATTGTCCAACTGTCTTTGTTTCCAGACACAGGGCCTGATCTTCTGACTTCTGGATACAGCCAAGAATTTCCTGTAGACAAAACATAATTTGAGCGTGGCATGACAAAGGGAAAATGGGTTTTGAAAAGATTCAACATTTAGCACTGTTTTCACACACAATAGTAGTCTAGACTCGAGGAGGGGGGAAATTTCCTGGCTGGTTCCTTCTCACACCAGGTACCTGACATGTTAAAGTGGAAATCAGCATGTGCATTGTTGTGGTAAGTGAAAACCTGCATATGACACAGAGGGAATATGAGAAACTAAAACCCTGGAGTAATGAAAGCTGAAGATAAATATAACATCAGAATATGGACCTTTTCTTATTACTGATAAATGGAATAAATCTTTTTAAATGCTTTGAGGGTGTAACATTTACATTTCACAACTTGTGTCTTACACTTTGGAGCTCTGGCAGTGGTGAGGCGATCTCCACAAGTGACAGTTCCCTCTGCTGGTCTGCACTCCTCTGACAAATGCAGCACAGGATCCACTTGAACGTCCTCCGCATCTCTTTGTCTCGCAGGGAATAGATGATGGGATTGACCAGAGAGTTGCACTCTGCCATCACCAAACAGAACTTCTCATAGTTGTTGGCGTGGCTGTCTTTGCCCAACAGCCCGTCCAGTAAGAGAGTGATGAGGCCAGGCGTCCAGCAGATTACAAATGCGCCTACGGAGATGTGGGCGGTCAATCAGGACAGAAAGGAGAACAATAAACCAAAGTCTTCCATAAAAGCAGCAGTGTTAAATGACACCTGTTGTCTCAGCATGCAGCTATGTCACGTAATACTGTACTTTGATTGCTTAACATCAGGGCTGACTGCCAGTACAGATTTACCTCCCAAGAAATGAGTCACCTGAGCAATGGTGGATTATGACGAGAAATGCAGTTTCAATGTTACTGCGACATACAGGAAATGCCCAAGAACCTTTTAAACTGAAAGTGTCCACGATAAACCAGACATGGTAGGAAAAACAAGCCTGTGGCTGCAAAACTGGTTTGTGGGGGAAGATGTCTGAAGATTATCGTCATATTTATCCAAGGGGAGTTAAAATCGAGGGCAACTGGACTTTGTTGAACATACTTGAAGCCGTTTGGCCTCTCATCCAAGAGGCTTCTTCATTTCTAACTGAATACTGCTTGGACACAGTCGTTAGAGTTGCCTGAGGTCTGAACGACATTGTCACTTAAGGCTAAATGTGAACATTTGTTCAATCTCATGCGAAGGGATGAGAGCACAGCATTGTAGGTGGGGGATAAGGACATCCTCCCCTGTAGAGAGAGACAACAATATACAGGAAACCCACACACAAACAGAACAATACTTACTCTTTGATTCTTACCACCCATGTTGAGCATAAGCTGAGAGTTATCAGAACAGTGCACCGCTAAGCTGATAACATACCAACAAGTGCCCAAGATGTCTTTTCAGAGAGAGACTGTGCTAGACTCTTTTTACTCTAATTTTGTGGATAATTAAAAACGAAATGTACAAACTTGACCTTTGACTCACAACTAACACAAACACACAAACAACTCACCGAGAACCATGGAGATAGTTTTCATGAGGTTGACAACAGTCTGGTTGTGGCACGTCTCTGAGGTGTGCTGAGACGCGTACTGGCTCTTGTATCTCACATATATGAAGATACGGGTGTACATGGCCACCATGATACAGAAAGTGAGTAGGTTGAGAACCGCCCAGAAGATGAGGAAGCGGCGGCTGTACAGGGGAGCGACAGTGGAGCAGTCATCCAGATCACACTCGCAGTTCCAGATCGTCGAGGGAACTGTACCCATGATGATGCCCACGACCCAGATACAGACGATCAGCAGCACCACACGCCGCTTGGTCATCTTGCTGTGCAGCTGCATGGTGATGATGGTCTGGTGGCGCTCCACGGCGACAGCCAGCAGGTTGGCCACAGAGGCCGTCAGGCTGATGTCAATTAAAGCCCCGCGGATGTACCACTGCTCCTTTGTGAGCATCCTGGTCCAGGGGCCCGTGTTCAACATCAGGTTGGTGTAGGCGATACCTGCAAACAGGTCTGCTGCAGCCATGTTGCCCAGGAGATAGTAGATGGGGAAGTGGAAGCGGTGGTTCATGAAGATGGCCACCATCACCATCAGATTGGCCAGGACCACGATGAGACATACGGTCAAGCCAAGTCCGATCACCACAAAGTCCCGCGGTGTCCACCCTACACTGACCTTCTTGCCCACCCAGTTGTAGAAGAAAGTGACATTGTGGCTGTAGTCGCAGGTATTCCAGCCACTGCTCTCCATGGCCATAACTGCAGACACAAAACAGACATTTCAGGATATGCACCTGTAGTCTTAAGAAGTGCAACAACAGGTATTGTACAATACTTTAAAATCAATATTCACCACGTGTGTTTCATCCACTTATCTCAAATATACTTCGACTATCGACTGCTATGAGAAGTTGAAAATAGTAATGTTGTACTAGTAACAGGAATGCTTAATCTCAGGATTTTTACTGTATGGAAAATGCAGTCAGTTGTTACGACATGTTTATCCTGAAACTGGATAAATTCCGCACAGTTGTTGTCAGGGAGACTGTCCAGATTACCATCATCGGTAGACAGTGTGTTGTAACGTGGTTTGCCGATGTGTTACTGTGATAAGGGATGGTTTGGTAATGATAAAGAAGGCATGTAAATTAACTCTTTGTGAATTATTTTTTCCTTCTATAAAATGTCATAAAATAGTAAAATAAAAAAAATGCCCAACACAATTTCCCAGAGACCAAAGGTGACATCTTCCAGTTGATCATTTTGTCCAACCAACAGTCCAAAACCCAAAGTACTCACTAAAACAAAAACAAAAACAAAAACAAAAACATATGCTGAAACCATCTGGCCAAGAAATATAGCAACTACTACTCTTCATTCTGGGACAACATAAAAAAATCAGAGACATACATAGAATATAAAATATAAAACATTAAAACGTGTTTCAACCTTCAGTAAACGTGCTTCTTATCTTGACATCGCAATCTGTTCAACTGAAACTGCGTTCAGGATATTTTCGTTTGAACTTTCTTCAGAGGAAATATTTAATTATTTGAAACCCACCGCCGTTTTTAGGGTCTCCTCCATCCAGACAGGTTCTACATGAAACTGGAGCTGCTAGCTGCCATCTGATCTGTTCTCACTCCTGTTGGTGCACGAGGTTTCACGGTTTGAAGTCCACGCCTGTCCGAATTACTCTCACTCAGATCAGCTGGAGCCGTCAGTACAGGTATCGGTGCTGCCTCCGAGTACAACCTGAAAAATCGTAAAGAACATACACACAGTCGGTTTTACTCATAAAAACAAAAACGCGATTCTTGACTGAGATATAGATTAAATTCTACATTTTCAGTGGCAATAAAACTGATAATTGCATGCATAATTGATGACTATTATGTAGTCATAGTCACGACAATACTAGTGCCATATTGTCTTAAATTACATACTTTTCGGTGGACAAAGAAAATTACTTGTTTACGTTTATTTTGAAAGTACATGCAGGAAGCGCTAGTATGGTTTCGTGTCTGACTTGACACTGATGGATGAGTGTTCACTGTCCTCTAGTGGTGACAGAGAGGGACTGCAACACCACGTTAGATTCGTTGTTAAAGCAAGAAGTACAACTCCCTATTACTGTGATTATTAATAACAGAAACATTAGTATTAGAAATAACTGGATTAATATAGATATGTTTTGATGACTGTTTTCTAGTATGGAGACCAGTTTAACTTGAACTATTTTACCGTAATTGACTTTCTAACACTGTGGCATATTCAACAGAACATCGCGGCCCCCTGTTTAATAATGCAGTCATTTCAGAGGCAGGAGTACAGTAGCCTCAAAACCCACAAAACAACGACGGCTAGTAGCCAAACATTACATTTAGGTCATTTTCTCAACTTTTAGGGTATTTAATTTAGCTGTGCAAAACAAGTCAAGCAAGCTGTTTTGTTTGACTAAACTCAAAGTCAAAGTCAGGTCAATCGGGAAGTCACACAACCCAATGCTACTGTCATACATTATCACACAGTTGTTGAATAATGATTAATCAAATGTAAACAACATGTGAACAACGCTCTTCATTGGAATATAGTACAGACAATAAAACTGATTACTAACGCGGTATTAGATATATTCATATTAGTGCTAATGTAAATAGTATCTGTATTACTAATGTGAACTTTGTCATCAAACAATACAAACGCACGATGTAATGCATTCCTATAAACAGGCCTGCAATGTGTCTTGCCCACCTCCTTTGCACAAAGTGAACGATTGTGTAGAATTACAGTGTTCGCTGCCATCTAGTGGCCACAGCGAGGAACTGCAACATTACTTATTCTTTGTAAAATTTGCGTCAATGTAAACATAAGACAACATTAATACTTCCGGTTAATACTCTCAAAATAAATTAAACAATCTTAAAACGACAGAAACGGACACTAACTTACGTTTTCATAATAATACAGACATTTAACGGTTATTATTTCACTTTTGTTTCTTTTATGTTTAAAGTTTTACCGTGTTATTTCTTAGTCTTGTGGCTGGTGCACGGAGCTGGCACTGACAGGAGGCCCGGAATAGCTAACTTAGCTAGTTCGAAGCAGTTTGGAGAGCGGACCGACAAACTTTTCCACGCCGTCATTTAAAATTAACCATATAGTGGCAAGTCTCCACGGAGTCACATTCACAGTTTATATGAGCAGTAGGAAATAATTCTTGGTACTAAGGAGAGTTGTGGAGGCCATGATGATCAAACATGATCAAAATAAAGTGGCAGCTCATCTCAAGTCTACTCTGTAGTGACTCACTGCCCTCAAGTGGTCACAGGGAGGAACTGCAATGCCACATACAATTCACGACAAATGAAGAGTTCACAAAATTAACACCAAAACTGAAGCTGTTATTTAATAGCAAACTAACAATGACTTGTACATACTATAATACAACATATTGCACATGGTGATATTAATAACGGCTATAACGTTACAGATATTAACTATTTTTCAGTTTGGTCTCTTGTTTTGAAAGTGGTCATAGGAAGTTTTAGTAGACCTTCATGGCTGCAATGACGTACACTTGATGAAATTAATGCAATGTAGTTCTTCACTGTGACCACTAGAGGGCAGTAAACACTCATGAATCTAAATACACTCGGGTCAAACCACAATCCAACAATATTAATACAAATATTACGTGGATGCAGCGTATTTCTTTGATGTTGTTTATAGCTATTATTTACTGTCCATGTCTGTTAAAGTGCTTTGTAATTATATGATACAATGAAGAATACAGCCCCAACAGTTTGTTGAATTTTGTCATTACTGGTGATTGCTAAAAATACCAATGATTGGTAATAAATGCATTAAAGAGTTACGTTTGGTATGAACCTCGATGTCAAGGTAGCCATGAAAGTAAATTAATAATCCAATTATAATAACGATGTTGTGTGACGTTACCACGTGTCAGCTTACTAACACATCTGCCTTTTACATGACATTAAACATTAAACTTTACTAATACAATTATTACCAAAATGTTATTTGTCATAATCACACCAATACTGACTTGTTCATATTGATAAGGATTGTATATACTGATAACTCAACTAATTTTGTGAATATATTCATGTTAGCTGTCTGTCAGATATAAAACTATACTAACACTTATACCTTCAAAATAAAACAATCCAAATAGAAGGCAGTGTTTTATATAACCTGTCCAAGTATGTAAATGGAAGTGGACAAAACATTTATTGTTGGCCATGTGCCAAAACCCATCACATTTTGCTGCATTTGTTCCTTGTACAAAAATTAAAATCTTAGAGAATAAAAATGTGACCACTAGAGAACAAAATTATGGTAACATAATTTATGTAGTTTCGTTTCTGATTGCTTTCAGTTTGGTCAGTTCATTTTAATAATCACAATAATAATAAGCTATACACATTGGTACTAATGACAATGGAGACAGTCTCGTGTAGAGGAATTGGACTGATGGGTTTGTCAGCTTACTGGAGTGTAAATGACACTTTTGTCAGTCAAGTGTCCTCACTCTTTTTACTATTGTACTGAAACAAAGCCAAATAAATAAATCCTGCTACAACAAGGACACTCAAGTGTTTTGGATGCATAAGACTCCAAACCAGACCCAGTCGACATCAGATCTTTTCCCCATGTATGGCAGCATCATTTCTGATCTGCAGTTCCTGTTACTTTCCTTTCTGGCAATAGCTGACAAAGTCTGACGAAAAAACAGCCCGCTCTTGAGAATGAGTGTGCTACGTACCGGTTCCAAGACGTACTTCACATAAGAGACCGACAGAATTTTGTTTATTTTTTTTATTTTCTATAAAAGAGATGAGTTTATTCAATGATCATAACAGACTGAATCAGAGACCTCGATAGACCACTCACATACCAAACGATAATCGAGGAAAATGTTTCAACAAAACCCCCAAAACAGAACAAATGTAACACAAAATAAAATACCTGAATAAAGCAAACTCTGGGCTGAGCTGCGGGGTCAGCACATTCTCTGTAGAACTCATGGCACATTATGTCCAACAGTTATTTGTGAAAAGGAAAAATGTTAAAAAGGAATGACATTATTTTTTAACCCTTTCAAAACCAGTCTAATAATAAAACTTCTATATTCATATATGGTGGACTTCATAGAAATTAAAAAGGTGACTTAAACACAGAAACAAGTTCTCCTGAAGTACTGTTTATCCGTTTATTCTCATCAATAGAATGCTTATCTACATTGGGAACATGCCTCCCTGCACCACACACTTTTTAAAAAATTAACAAAAAAACAAAACACACAGTCACACAGCCATCCAAATTTACAGTCACACTCACAGACCAGTTTCAAACGCTAGTGTGGCAACGCTGAAACGTATCTACCAAAAATCTGCTGATTGAACAAAACGAGAAAGTAGTTGTCGTCAGGTGTATACACTCATAGAAGTCCAGCTAAAACTAAATTTAAAACCCGAATATTGACAACGGGTAAAATAAAAAACGCTGTCTTTTCCTTTTTTTTATTTATTTATTTATTTTTTACACAAACTCTTTCAAAAATCTCCCTCCCCCATTCAAATATTACACCCCCAGTCCGGACTTGCCCCTTTCTAAACCCCCTCGAAGTGTAATATAAGCCAACGAGAATTGCAATACAATACAGGCACTGGAGAAAAACACCATAAGAGACAAGTGAAGAGGACGAGATGCATTCGGATGTCGACCCATCCTCGGTCCAAACAATGTCTCCAAGAACAGAATTATAACTCACATCCACTATTATCGAACAAGAACAAATATATAAATCAAAACAGTTTTTTCAGCGTTTTCCGCTTCTTAACTTTCGTAATCGTTTTGTCTTTTTATTTTGTATGGTCGACAGTGTGCCCTCAGTGAATTGCAAGACCATTTGATGCAAAAACTAACTGGCAGGGCCTTCCAGTCCCTTTAGCTATTTTTACTAACCTGATTCAAGTAACAGCTACAGAAAAGGTGTTAAGTGTTTGTCTTATTCCCCCAATTGTCCCCTTCCTGCCTCGAGCAATCAGCCGGTTGACATTTGATCTAAACCTTTAAAGGAAGACTGAACGCACACAGAGGGGGGGACAGCAAGGGGCTCCCTCCTCTTCTCATGTCTTCACTGATCCAGTAGTGTGACTGCTGTGAACAGGCCAATGATATGAACGTTTCCAACATTATGTCTTAAGTGTAATACAAATAATGGTGCGATGCTTGTAGTGAATTCACATTCCAAATAAAGCTCAGAAACGGCCGGACCTTTCCCTTCTGCTAACAAGTTCCTGTTGTAGCTTTAAATGAAAATTACAAGGCAGGATGAAAACTTCAACTGATTCTGTCTTTGATAAATACTTGCTGGAACTATGATAATGCATATATTCAAGGGGCAGGGCGGAGAGGAGAAGGGTGAAGCGTCACTAGCTACCTACCATGTTTTAGGACGAGTAATTTAGCATAAAAGATAATGGGTCGTTTGGCATAGACATAGGTGGCGGAGTGTGTTGGTGTGAAGATTCAAAGATCTAAAGAGGAAAAAGAGAAAGATCCAAAATAAACAGTTATTGTAGTATAAGAAAATACTTCTTTACAGTAGATACTAGATGATGAAAAAAGATCTGCACTGCTCCTACTCCTGGTTGTAAATGTTATTATTTTTCCGTGTGTGCAGGCCACAGAACATAATGGTCTGTTCAGGAAAGAGGTGTAAGGCAAACTATACCTTCTCTGCTGAGAAATATACATGATTTACAGTATGGAAGTTGACACCCCCCCCCCCCCCCCAACCATTTCATGTTTCACTTACAACAATCAAAACAAAACAGAACAAAAAAAGACCAATCTTCTTCACCACCTCAGACATCTGGCAGCTTCAAAACGACTCTGCGCTGTCTGTCAGTACATTATCAGAGCATTTTCATACATACTGGGATGTCTTTACTCTCGCAATTTGTTGTTGCGCCCACGCACACTGTAAGAAGCAAGCGTGACAAAGGCAACTGTGCCAACAGGGGTCCTCTTTCTCCCGTTACGAGATATCAGGCGGGCAATGCCAAATTCCCAGGAAATGACATCCAAAACAATGAGACTATCCCCATGTGTTGTGTGTGTTCAGTCCACAGGGGCAAGAGTGCCCGTCCAACGTTTGTACCCAGTCTCTGAGGGCCTGTCACATCTACATACAGTCCGTGTCCCTCTGGTGCGTGGTCGCCAAATCTCCTTTTAGACGAAGTTTACATCATCCAAGCTTTTTTCTTTTTTTTTCTTTTTTGTTTGCAGTCATGCTTCAGTAACTCCTCTCCTCAAAACAGATTTTCCTCAAAGATAGCCATTAAGTCACTTTGGAAATTCATGTCAATAGTTGCTGCCATCTGGAGAGAGAAAAGAACAACTAAGCATTTCCTTTACATTCATTTACATCATCAACTTCTAGAAAATTGCTCCTACATCTACAAATGTAAATACAATTATAATCTGCTTCTGCTTTTCAAATGACTCTTAATGTATGGTGCACACCTTTGACAATACACTATAATTTCTATTCCATGGAATTAGCATCATCATTAAAGTCCATAATAGGGATGCAGCGATTACCAGATTTCACTATTAACCACGCTTTAAAACGTCATGGTTAATTAATCGTAAAGGCTCTGCTACACCGCGTGTTTCTGTTTCACGGAACGAAACTGTTGCAACTTGCACAAAATGAAAAGAAAGTTACAGGAGCAGTGCAACAGTTTAAGTGTCGTGCTCATCAGAGGCTACTGCACACTGGCTAAATTATGGCAGAAGGACCAAGAAGAAGTCGGCAGTGTGGGAGCATTTCGGGTAAACCAAGTCTGACCAGGGGATTACTCAAGATGACGGATCACCTGTTCAAAAGCATGCCGTTAAAAGGTTCCCGCTAAAGGAGCGAATAACTACATTAAACTTGATGCAGCACCTGCGTGATCACCACCCGGCTTTGCCCGCCCAAGTAAAGGTAGGCCTAATACATTATATTAAATAACGTAGCAAGTTGGTATGGAATTAAATATAAATGTGTCACTTACAATCGATGCCGTAGCAGTGAGAGTCGAGCTTTCAGTGCAACGTAAACAAACAAAGCAGGTGTAACCTTTCAGACCCACCGCAACGATGGCCCCGCTGCGCTATGAGGCACATTATGGCACACAATCGCTTGCCAGGGTGGTTTGTTGCTGCATCGAGCAACGTGCGCCGCATGGCGAGCTCGCGCGCATGTCACGGTCAAAGCAGTTGAACTTCCACGCAATTCAAATCGCTTCTTTTCTGAAAGGGCCTTTGTGGAAGACGGAACGTAGTCCTCTCAAGACCTTCAGTCACTGAACCTTTAACGTTATATCCTGTTGTCTTCTCCTGTCTGTGTTGAGAAAATCTTGCGAGGTGTAAAACACTAAAGCTGATGATACACGGAGCAACTTTTAGAGAAATGGTGCTGGGCAATGTTGCCATCAATGGTAATGAGTAAAGATTACTACCGTTATCCCTATCCCCACCACCCCACCACTCCGCCACCCTCCCCACACCGCCGCAATCCATTCAAAACACAGTTGGACTTGCCACCAGCAACATTGCCCAGCAACATTGCCCAGCAACATTGCTCAAAAAGTTGCCCCGTGTATCATCAGCTACATAACAGGAGCTTCTAGACTTCCAGGACTATAGGCTACCAATTAACTGCAATTCAGTTAACACTGCACTCAATTTCTTTCTATCATTTTCACTAAAACATATGTATGGATGAGAGTTTTATTCCCCTCCTTTTATTAACAATTTCCCCAGGGGGATAAAATTTAATATTCCTCTTATATTAATAATACTTATAATACGTATTATAGAAATATAATTGTTAATGTATTTAAATATTAAAAATCAACTTAAGTCATTACTAGTGTTGTGAAATTAATTAATGCATAATAATCATGAAACCGTGATTCGTTCTCTTACAATAATCGTACCAACAAAATCTGTAATCGTTGCATCCCTAGTCCATAAAACTAAAGAGTGCTAAAACACTTCATCTCACCGCTTCTCGCCTCCTCCTCTCCTGCTCTCGGCGTCGTGCCAGCTCCCTCTGTTGGTCTAGTGGGTTCTGTGTGGCGGGCTGAGGTGGGGTGGGGGGTTGAGGCGGTGGCTGCTGCTGAATAGCAGCTGGCTGGGGCTCCTGCTGCTGCTGCTGTTGTTGCTGCTGTTGTTGTTGCGAAGGAGCTTGGATGTGCTGCTGCTCCAGACGCCTGCGTGGCTCCTCGTGCACCCTTCTGCTTGGCTCCATGACATCCTCTTCATCTCGTCCTCTGGAAAACATTCAGGCCAATAATTCACACCAGGTAAAATCAAATATGTTGCTACATTCCTGTTCACAGCTGCACAAGCAATATCCTTACAGCTACATCTGGTGCCATCTTAGATGTCTGAACTAAATATAGAATGATATGGCCAGAAAAATAAGTTTGATTATATTATTTTCTAGTTTATATGTTGACATCTGAAACAAACCCTCCAGCAGTCCTTTTTACACTTGAATCTCAGTAACGGTTGTATTCTACAATATGGCCACTAGAGGGCATAATACATCACTATTTTCCAGGGTTTCCCCGTTTCTATTTATCATCAGGTTATCTCTGCCAGGTGTATAAGTCAGTGGAGACTAAATGGTGTGAAATGACATGCAAAAAGCAAAAAATCTGTTGTGATAACACGCAAAATGACCCAAGATATAGGCGTGTTATTCATACAACATTTGGTGATACCAGGCCTGGCAAAGATCTGCACTCTCCCGAGGGCACTCTTCTAGTTGTCTTCAATTTATGACTGGGTCTGTTCAAATGTTGAAGCCTTTACATTGTTGAAGCTCTATCAACAATACAATTTCTGACTTCTTTTGGCACTTGAGGCTCTTTGAGGCTATGCTCAATCTGTAATTACATTAACTGAACATAGGAGCAACAAAGTCTTATCAACCTCACCACTTAGTCACTCATGATGGTGATGTCCTGTCAGCGACAGGACTCTCAGATGAGTTGTTTTACATTTTCAAAACGACACTAAGTCTAGCCCCTCTTGTTTGAAAATGGCTCTTTATGTCATGGATTTCTGTAAATCTATATCCTGGTCAACTTTCTTCATTATAATTCTCTCACATTTACTTTTGTGGAGATAGGTATAGTATCTCACAAAAGTGAGTACACCCCACACATATTTGTAAATATTTGATATTTAAGGACACCAGTGGCAACCTGTGAAGCTCTGGTGAACTCCATGCCACAGAGGTTTAAGGCAGTGCTAGAAAATAATGGTGACCACACAAAAAATATTGACACTTTGGGCCCAATTTGGACATTTTCACTTAGGGGTGTACTCTCTTTTGTTGCCAGCAGTTTAGACATTAATGACTGTGTGATGTATTATTTTGAGGGGACAGTAAATTTACACTGTTATACCAGCTGTACACTCACTACTTTACATTGTAGCAAAGTGTCATTTCTTTATTGTTGTCACATGAAAAGATATAATCAAATATTTACAAAAGTGTGAGGGGTGTACTCACTTTTGTGAGATATTTCCTCAAAACACTATAGTCCCTTGTAAAATAAACATTGCAGCCTTCTATATAGTTTGTCGCCAGTCTTTTTCTAGAACCATACCGTAGTTTGTCCTGCTCTCTGCGTAGTCTGTCTTTTTCCGCCTGCTCGGCTTGGGCTTTCAGGGCTTTTTCCCTCTCCTCCTTCTCCCGGGCAGCACGACGGAACTGCTCAAAACTGTCACTCGATGACTTCACTGCAGATAAAGGCGTAGATGTGGACTTTTGTGCCAGGCTGGCCCATGAGCCCATGTTCTTCAGTTTCACATCCTGAGAAAACATAGACAAAAACGGGAAGGAGAGCCCCATTAATTATTAATTATGCAAGGAGGTGTATGAGAAGGTAATTTAAAAAAGTGATTACACCCACCTGTACCTTTTTGGGGGCAACGGGTGCCTTAGACTCCTGCTTGAACTTATCCTTGTCTTGCAGAGAGGGGGGCAGCCCAATGGGCTCAGAGGAGCGGATGACAGGCCGCGAACTGTCCATGGACTTCACATCTGCTCAACACAAGTTGACACACACTCTCATATTATTATTCTTCCGATGCATTTTAACGACAGAAAGCCAGAGGAAAAACAACATGTCTTGGTACTCACTCTGTTGGCCTGGTTGAGGAGGCTTGTTATCAGGATGTTTGTGATGGTCTGGTCTCATTGCAGGGTTAAATGGCTCTCCTCTCATCACTGGTGATGGAGGAAGCTTCTCCTCCTTTAACCCACCTTGACTCACAGGGGCCCTCTGCTGCATGACAAGCAAATGGAGTAAAAGGTCGGGCACAGGCATGTAGAGACATAAAGTTGGCAGTGCAATAACCATCCCACAATAAAAACTGTGTCCAACCTGTGCAGGTTTCTCACCTTTTTGGGTTGCATGTTGTGAGGTGGAGACTGGTGAGACACAGGTGGGTACTGGGGAAGTTGTGGGGAATGCATCATAAGAGGGGATGGGTTGTCCCTCATGTGACCTGTATACAGAGGACACAAAACATAATTAATTTGTACTGCGACAGTTACAAACTGAAGTGAATCTCATCTTCTCAGACTTACCTGTGTTGTAAGGGTCTCCCTTGGTCGGGCGAGGGGAGGGCTGCTCCTGCTGGATGATCTGCTGTGCTTTGTTATTGGGCATGGATACCTTGTGTTGTGATGCTTGGGACTGACCAGCTAGTCCAGGACCCTGCTGGTAGTTCAGTTGCTGCTGTTGTGGCTGCTGAGTGTGCAGCATGTGGCGGGCCGGGTGTAGAGGAACCTGTTGGGGTGGGGCCTGATGTAATGGGGCTGGCTGAGCCTGAACAGGGAGCTGGGGAGGAGGCAGCGTGGTCTGAGAGGATAGTTGAGATTGTATCTGGACAGACTGCAGGAGAGATGTCGGCCCTGGTTGTTGTTGCAGCTGCTGCTGCTGGCGAGCCTGTGCCTGAAGCGACTGCATGGATTGCTGGGGCTGACGGGATTGCTGGAACTGCTGCATGTATAATTGTACGTTCATAGGCGTTGTAGACCCTGGCTCTTCATCATCCTCCAGCAGCATCTGGGGAGGCTGGGAAGACAGCAAGCCCTGGGGTGTGAGTGTTGGAGGGGACATGGGCCGCTGGTGCAGGGGCTGAGGAGGGTGGAGGATCTGAGAAGAGAGCTGGTGCGGTGGTGGTGGTGCTGACTGGGGTTGCAGCTGCTGCTGCTGCTGCTGCTGCTGCTGTTGCTGTTGTTGTTGTTGTTGTTGCTGCTGCTGCTGCTGCTGCTGCTGCTGCTGTTGTTGTTGCTGCTGCTGTTGTTGCTGCTGCTGTTGTTGCTGCGGCAGGGTTGGCTGTTGCTGAGGAGGTGCTGGTTGCTGATGAGGGGGTTTTGGATGAAGTGGCGCTGCCTTGTGACTGGGTCGAGAAGGCTGCTGAGGCATGGAACTGTGCAAGGCTATGATTGCACAGTTCCAGCAAAGGAAGAAGAAACAAAACATATTAATACAATTGTTTGGTCACAAAACTATCTTCCTCTGCGATGGTGATGCATGTTGTCGTTTACTTAAAAAAAAAATAAAACAGTTCAATTAGTAAATTTTTAACCTGCATTTTACAGTTATTTTGTGGGAACAGGAGTTTATGCAAATGCACTTGAATGTGTAAATTTGAGTATAAACTACTCAATGGTGAGTGAAAAGAAAAAAGGATGGGCCTGCTTATCCTAATAAAGGTTTAATGATGTATGTAATAAATGTTAAGTTTATTCCAGAAATGACTTGGGACTTGAGATTTATGGAAACTGTATGTTAATTTTAGTTTCAATGACAATCAAAGTGCACTGTAAATAAAACAACAATAATCCCATTTCTAGGGTAGGGTTAGGTCAGTTTCTGGCTTTGCCAGTCCGGTTTACAAGCTTAAACCGGTTTGATTTTATGCAAACCGGCTGAACTGGCATTTGTCATAATGAGACCTTCAGGCTAAATAAAAAGACAAAAGAAGGAGTTCTCAGCAGTAGGGACAGAGCTCAACGCATCATACTCTGAAAAACACGCCCCTTGATACCACAATATGCAACCAAGGACTGAAATGCTAACAAAAGCACTTGGCATAATAGGAAATGTGGGTATCTACAATGCTCTCAGCATTGTCTGCAGCATATAGCAGATCATGCATCATAGGTGTGCAGAAGCAGTGAAAGTTAATAAACAATGACCCCATTATTTTCCTCTTTCAGTATAACTAACATAACCCTGTGCCTGACAAACATCATGTCACTCACGCTCATCAGCCTCTATTAGCCAAACAAAAGTTGTAATGTTTTTGCTATTTATGTAGACATAGCGTATGCCAATATTGACAACTACAAGAGGACAGGTTGACTTTGTAGGAGTAAGTATTCTCAGAGGGACCAGAGTTACACCAGCAGAAACAATGAAAATTGAAGTAGTCATTGATGTTGGACCTGTCAAGAATGTAGCAGCCTGCATACAACCTTACCTGGAGATGGGAGGATGGGATGCTGGTTGAGGAAGGGGTGGGTCTCAGGGGAAACTGGCCCAGCAGAATGAGTGTTGAGGTGTGGAGGTACAGGTGAGGAGGAGTTGCCTGTGTGGTGGGACAGGTGCATGAGGGGCTGGCCGAAAGGCGCCATGGAATCAAAACTATTCTCCAGTAACTGGGAAGACTCCAGAGCGGCTACAGGTGGAGCAAGGAAGCCTGCAGGAGATGGCTGATGCTGCTGCTGCTTCATCTGACTGCTGGACTGAAGGCCTGCTGCTTGGGAATGAAGCCCAGTCTGAGCAGGGCCACCCTGAATGTGAGGGTGCATCTTCTTGCCCTCCTTCACAGACTGGCCCTTCTTCTTCTGCTGCTTTATAATTCCTGGAGGGAAAAAAGTGATTAAATAAATGAAATAATGAAATAAATATTAGACACTTCATTTTGTGTTTTTGATTATGGGCATTTGAATGGTTAAATTTGCAGTAAGTCACCTGTCGCCTCAGCTTCACTATCTGTGCTGGAGCCACTGCTCTCTGAAGAGGAGCCAGTCTTTTTGGAGGTAGCCATGGACTCCACAGGCTTCTCAACTGCAAAACAACAACTATGTGTTCATGCATTTCCAGAATAAAGCATCAATGTGAAATGACTTGCTTACTACACTCAGGTGAGTGACCAGTTTCCCCTTGTTGGTTTCCTAAAGTGGTTTACCTGGAACCTTTTTCTTCTTGCGGAGGCAGGAAGACACATATCTTTCCAGCTCGCGTAGAGTGGAAGGCTTTAGCGTCTCAAAGTCAATTTCGATCTCATCAGGGTTTGAGTTTTTGAGTGAAGGCTCTCTGGACTGGATGATATGCACTACACGGCCGAGCTTATCACCAGGTAGCTTGTTGATGTCCAAGCTCAGCTGTCTCTTCTCTTCGTATGTCATTGGTTTGCATTTTTCCACTGTAGCTGATGAGCCAGCTGCCCCCATGTCGTCTTCAAGGCTGGGAACTGGCTGCAGGTTGGAGGGATGACTGCTTTTCATCCCTTCCTTTTTACTAGAAAGGCAAAACACAAATGTGTAATTTACCCACATGTAAATACTGACTAGCTTTTATTTATACAGTAACTTTTTCAAACACAGTTCAAAGTGCTTTACAACAGACATATTTGACAATTACAGGTAAGACGTAACAAAGATTACCTTTCGATCATGGGACACGCTGTATTGCAAACAATCCCCCTTTTAGGGATTATATTTCTTTACAAGATAAACAACTATGTAAAACATGTTCTCTTATAACCAAGCCTTCAGAATTTACTCTCAACCATGGCCACAGTTACACAGTGAAAGCAAGAAGGGGGATATAAAATTGAGTTAGGGTAATACTGAACTGTGTAATTCCAAGCTGATGGCTAAGGAAACATCTAATATCAAGAAATTTCTCTAATCGACTGCCTGACATGGAGAAGGTGTAATATCCACCTGGGTTTCTTCTTGGAAACAACCTCTTTGTTGTTATTGTTACTGGTCTTGGTCTTCTTAGATAGCTGCGGAACGGGTGTAGCCTCCTGGATCTCATCTACAAGGCCAGGCACGCCTCCTTTCTTCTTATGCTTTTCTTTCTTCTTCTCCTTCTTTTCCTTCTCTTTTCTCTTTGGTTTGCTGGCTTGTGGTTGGGACAGGGCAGCCAGCTGCTCATGGACAGCCTTCAGCTGTATAAAGAGAAGAAAGCAGTTCTCAACAAAGTGTAACAGGGGAAGGACAACAAATTTGCAGCCACCTTGAATCTTCTCTGGTCACTGACCTGTTCTTGGAGCTCTGCCAACCTCTGGGCTCTCTCTTCTTCAGAGTCATCTGTGGAAGACTCAGACTCAGAGGATGAGTCACTGGAGCTGTCTGAAGATGAGGGGACATGGGCCAAAGGAGGCTGGGGCTTAACAGGGGCTGGATGATGAAGTGTAGGAGCTGGAGCAGAAACCAGGGGCTTGCTCTCAGGTTCATCTGGCATCTTAGCAAAGCGCATCTCAAACACATCCTATAAAATGAAAAGAAACAAAACAAGCTCAACAAAAAACGTGTATGTTTGTAGGAACAGACTCAAAAACCACAACAAACATTCAGACTGAAATCTGTCGGATGTGACAGACTGGGCATGTGAATCCATGGACAAATAGAACAAACCTCTGGGTTAAGATGAAAAATATAGTTGAACTGAAATGCTGTTAAAACACTGTCAGCCTATTTAAGAAACTCACTTTCTAATTATATTCTGCAGCTGCTCCACGATCCTGCTCACTCAGAAATATTATTTCCATATTATAGGAACTACGTTCCATCAGTGTGACCCATCACATCATGAGAAATAGAGATAATTATTCATTGATCCTGTGTCTCTAAAGCTTTATACAGATTTTTACTGTATATAGTATTAAGATTACACATTGTGCACACAAGACAGCTGTCTACAGTTTTACTAACATTTGTATTACGCATAGAGTCCTGGTGTTATTTAAAAAAGGACATGATAAGGTTTATTCTGAGCTGACAGTGACTTGATGCCGTGTAATATATGAATGTGAGGGAAAAAAAACACAGTTCAAAGTAAAGACTGGCAGCTCATAAAAGCAGCAAACTAACTTTTGATTCTGACATACATGAAACCTTCATTAACTAATGAGCATCCATACGCACTCATCAATGACAAAATGAAACAGCCTGTCTGGTGCTGTAAGAGGGAGGAGACAGAGAGAGAAACTCAGGGTTTGTTGAAGAAAACCTGCCAGCACGCAGGTTAGGTTTACAGAATTACCTTACTTTCAAATACATATTGTTAAATCTCCATGTTTATAGTCAAAAATATGAACCTGTTAAATTGGGTTACTATATATTGCCTAAAACATAATGTGGTGTAACTACAAAACATGGACTCCAAACATTATGATAATGACTGTTATACCATAAACAGTTTCAAATACCCAATAATAATAATATAATGTTGTGATACACTCCATCCATAATAGCAGGGAACATATTTAAATATAATAATGGCTGATATCATGGTTGATTTCTAAAAGTTTGTTTGCATGTCAGACTATATTTACCTGTAGCTTGCGTGCCATAGCTACCACCTCATGGTCTGGTGGATTATATTTGTAGCAGTTGGAAAACATTAATCGTACATCAGCAGCAAACTCCTGGGGTTCCCGGTATTGCCGGTTCTCCAGCTTGGCCTATTAAAACACAATGGGTGTATTAATCACTTGCCATGCCACAAATCCCCCCTCTTCAAAATCTAATGGTACCATTGATATACTATGCTGACTTCAACACACCTTAATGGTGCTGAGGTCCATTGGATGTTTGATGATATCATGATAATCATGTAGTCCCAGTGCATCCACATCAACAGGTTTGTAGAATGGCCAGGCATAAGCAGCGTGCTTCTTGGACAGCATATCCCTAACCAGACTTGCACAGTATCCCAGCTGATCCTGTGGTTTGGGGCTATGACCTCCACTTGGTCCGCTCAGTCCCATCCCCATGCCTATGTGATGTTGGGAGTCTGGGGCATCCTTCTTCATTAGTTTCATAGGCCGGGCACTCTCTCGCCTGGGTAGTGTCTTCCCAGATTTGGACTCTGCTGGTGAAGACTCACTCAGTTGGTCGTTTGCTGTGGGCGTTGTAGTGTCTGCTTTCCTTTTCTGGCTCTTTCTTTGCTAGATAGAAGTGAATATAAGGGAAGCACAGAAATGGGGCAAAGGGGCAAGGAAATAAGTGATTAAAAAGAGATGCCAAAACTTAACCACACCTCTCTAATGATCCAAGCATGACCCACTAGAGCTGCAGCTAATGATGATTTCATTATTCAAAGCTGCTATAGATTATTTCAACGATTCATCGATGCGTCGTTTAAGAAGTACTTTTGCTTGCCGGCATCGCCCCTCCCGGTAACGGGATCAGCTGTGCACGTTTATAGGTTATTGGTATGATATTTATATTGCAAACATCAGAACCACCACCGGACAGCTGCTTTACAAACACAAACATCACCCGAGTGCTATACAAGTTATACTAAAGGCTCGTGCAGACTACACGACTTTCAGCGTTGGCCAAACACTACACAACTTGCCGTCTTGTGATGGGAGTCTTGAAGCCGTTACGGCGTTCACACTACACTGTGCTATGTTACTGATCGGTGACAGGGGGTTACACACTAAACGAGCTGACAGCGGCTCTGTCACCAGACGCAGGTCTCCAAACCACGTTTTGTCAAGAAAACACAAGTGAAATGTGAAATGCCAAATGAGCGATCCTGAACACATAACAGCTGCTGTTTGTTATTATAAAGATAGCAGTTATAAAGACAAAGAATATGGGTGAAAGGATGGATTAGCACACGCAGGTAGCAGAGATTGTCTGAGCTACAGAGAGAGCTGGAGGTGAGTTAAAAAGGTGCAACTCTCCGACACCCAGTTAACTCTTGTCTGTGACGTTACAACCCAAACTCACGGCCCAACCAGGAGAACATCAAACGCACGTGTGTACTTACAGCTGAGGATTGCGGCTTAGTTTGGCTAGCCTTCATCTCAACAATCAATCATGATTTCAGTTAAATGCTAAAGTTGCTGTTACTGTTACCTTGTCTGGGGTCGGCTGGCAGAACACCGGGTGCTTTCTGATCAGGTGCCGCCGTGCTGTTGCCGAGGTCACATAAGTTTCGTTTTACGGTGGACTGACAGTAACATTACAGAACTGTTGTTTTTTTTTTTTAGCCTGAAATAATCCCATACTTTGGACACTTTCTTCTTTGTCCCTCGCTATTTTCTCTCTCTTCCTCCACTATGCAAATAGCGCCATCATAATCATGTCGTGTTCACAGCGTAAGCGCGATGTGTGACAGTAATAAATGTATCGTGCGAAACAGCGTCCTGTATAGTTATATGGATTAATCGATTTAATCGATGAATCGTTTCAGCCCTAATGCCCACCTGCCCAAGCATATTTCCCAGTGTCAATCACACTCACTTTGGTCATAGTTATAGGGTTCTGCAGCATTGGGGCAGTGCTCTGGATGGATGCTGGGGGAAGGGAGGTTTGAGCAGGAGGAGGCACAGAAGTCATGATGGGAACTTGAGCGCAGTCTGACTGGCCCAGGGAGTAGGGAGCTCCAAGCTGTGGCGCGTGGCTGGATAACGTTGGGGGCACATGGGACGGCAGGGCCTGCATCAAAGGCTGGGGAGGTAGTGAAGGTGGGCCCTGCACTGGTCCTCTGGTCTGCGGTGCTGCTGAGAGGTTTGACAGACCACGTGTTTGAGGAGTCGTGGATGAAGAATCAATGATGGCCCCTGGTTTCAAGTTCAGACCTTGATGAGAGAACAAGACTTTGATAAATATCCAGTCTCACAGAGGCCAGCTCAAAAAACATACGATGACTCAATGACAGTGCAAGATAGTGTGAAGGGGTAAATCACTTACCTCCATCTCTCCGACCCCGGCCCCGGCCCTTGCCTGTCATGACAACAATCTCAGTTTCTTCTTGAGGCATTTCTGTGACCTTTTGGAGGAAAGCCTTCTCTAGCGCCTCAGCCATTAAGACTATGTCATCTCCAGGCTGCAGGGGGGGACAAACACTCTTAGCAAAAGTGGAGGCATATCGGAATCTTATGCACTTTAAGGTAACAATGGCTCCAGTGTAAAACTATGGTACCTTATTGTATATGTAACAGTTGGTAAACATCGTGTTGAAGTCTTGGATACATTCTTGGGCATTCCAGTAGTAACTGTTCTCAAGCCTTTTCTTGATTGTTCCCATGTCCATAGGATTTTTGATTATTGTGTAGTAGTCCTGAAAAGGTTGCATACGAATATGTCAACAATACAAGAAAGGAACTCACTGTTTTTCAACAACATGACATCCTCTACATCATGAATTTTATAATTAACTTTTTTTTCTTGTGCACATGTGCCAACCGAGACTAAACAGCACAAAATAATTTTCAAAGCACGTCAGTAACTGGTTTTTCACACTCTCTCTCTAGCATTCATTGTGTTTCAATTAGCATTCAATACTCTCTGGTCCAAAAGGAGGTGTTTCAATGTGCACACTGACAAATAAAAAACACTCAACTCTTGAAACATACTCTTTCTGAATGAGCTCCGATATTGCAAATAATTCTGTTTGTAAAAATACAATTAGGGAGAGGGGCGACTTAGTTGGTTTTCAGACAAAATTAAATAGAATCATAACAGCTAATGTCTAATGTGCCGGGAAAGTTTTGAGGTATGTGGCATTATCCATGCAGAGACGAAGTACTCACAGGCAGGTTAAGTTTGATCGCATCCACTGGTGCATGAAAGGGCCAGGCAAACTGGTGCTTCCACAGGGCCTTCACCACCATCTTGAGCAGGTACTGCAGCTGATTGGTCTGGCGCTTCGGCCTGTCAGGATTGATGTACTCTGGGGGTGGGGGGTTGCCCATTGATTGGGCCTGCCCCTGGCTGCTGCTACTGCTGCTGCCCGACATTTGCGCTGCATCCATGCCGTCCCCCATTCTAACAGGGTTGGGCGTGGGCTCTGGCCCCGGAGCAGGAGCTGGAGCTGGAGCAGGGGCAGGGGCAGGGGTAGTGGTGTTGGCAGGACACCAGTTCAGTCTTGGCCCCGGCACAGACTCCACTGACAGAGCACCGCTGATCCCATTGCACTCCTCGCTGGATTCTCTGGAGAGAGGAAAATGGCATACTGTCATTAGCATGTCTATAAACATAGTCTTCAATAAAATGTAACTTTATTTTGTCATTAACAACATTTTATTGGTATCATTTAAAAAAAATTGCATATGCAATTAGACCTCTACACTAGATCACTACACAACACTATTACAGCCAGGACATGCGTACCAGGTAACGTTAATCGACTTGCACACGGACATTCAGTTTACTTTCAAGTTTGCCTTTATATCATGTTGTTGTAATGTTAGCTACAGGACACAGGAGGACAGAAGACAGGACAGTGTTAAGTATTGCTATCTGGAGCTGGTGTGCTGGCTCTGGGAAACCATCTCATCCTCACTGTAGGTTAGCTACGCAGCAGCAACTGTAGACGGTTTGCTAACCCACAATCTAGCTAACATTAGTTACATTACTTGCAGTATCATTGTTTGCTCGATATCATGGTATTTTATTTCGCCAGAATCACATACCCCACTTAACCAGCGTTTTATTATAGAAGGTAATGTTTTTGATTTTCACTGGAACAGCTATTGAACTTTCCACCCAGCTGTATTTGATGGACAGCAGAACGGTATAAAGTTTGAATATGAGTAAAAACTCATGTTAATCCAGCTCCCCTGACAGACCAGAGCCCTGCTTCATTGATAGTTAGGGGTTAAAACAAATGTACAGATTCAGGGAAGCTGGTTTACTTTACTTTACTCCCACATTGGTTTGAAAGATAAAATCCCATAATCTGCCAAAACTCTCATGGTGCTTTCAGTCACCTTTACTGTCAAGCAGTTTAAAAAAAACAAACAAAAAACACACTCACTTGACAAATCTACATCTGTACAATCTACGTTTAATGGTATGATTTAATGTTTCCCTGTTTACATATTAGTCATGGTCATGACAATGGATATGCTTTATTTTGCATTAATTACTAAACTTAGGCACACATGACATGTAGAAACTCACAGTTATCCATGCTGTAGCCATGGAAAATAAATAATTTCTGATGTACTTCATCCTTATTTCTGATTAATTTAATTAAGATTGTACTTTACATTTGTAAATCAGTGGACAAGTATATAAAACTGCAGATTAACCATAGTGACAGTAATTCTGCTTTGTGCTATGTTACTAAATCTTACTGGTGTTTTACCAGTGGAGTTAATTTCTGTAACTTCCAGGGGAGGAAGTCTGAAGAGGTTAAAACTCTAGCAACACTTGTAGTACGCTGAACAACTTTACTGTCAGACCATAAACTTGTTCTGTATACTACAAGTGTTGCTGGAATTTTGACCTCTTCAAAAACAATCTGACATTCACACCCACTTCATGCAGCAAATAGCCAGGTGTGCAGAGGTGAGAAAGTAAACAGGGTTTGAACTTCTCTTTTAAGCTCTCCTTTTTCCATTCTTACATACATTTACAGCTAAGTCTGGTTCGTTTCATGTGCAACACTATGAATGCCTTTCAGGCAAGACGGTCTATCATCTTCGTGTGTTTCTATGATGGCTGGCTTTTCAGCCCACCTTTAAGTGCTGTTCAGAGCAGCTATAAACACTTTTTCCTTGTGACGTTGTCAGAACTAATTCTTTTCAAGCATTCCCCTTGACATGAGTGAGATTATACACTCTCAGTGACCTGATACAGAAAATAATTTAGCTGACAGAGTGCTCACCTCTTCTGTTTTTTCCTGGCAAAGAATCCAAGGATCCAATGCACAGTGAGAGAAACTGTTCCAGATCAAGTGCAATCATCGCAGCTCTAGGTATAACACTACAAATTTGAAATTCCTCAAGTAAAGGCCACATATAATTTCTTTCACTGAACAAATTCACACAAGATACACTCTTTTTACGTTACAGAGCCCCCAATTCCTAAAACTTCCTCTCAACTTGCTGATGCACATTTTAATTAATGTGTGTCCTACTGGGTGATAGAACAAGAAACTGGACTTGTTGTTTAGGTTTGGGGCTGTAGCATGTGTGTGTGTGGTTTATTAGATCTTTGTCTTCACACTCTCTCTCAGGACCAGAGTGTGTTTAGGGATGTGGGAGGACAGGGTTGGAGGGTGTGGGGGAGCTAGCGACATCTGGCAGCTGGGGGACTTTGTGTTCCACTATGCAGAGTCCTACATAATGTCCTCTCCCAGGCAGTCAGGGACATCAGATTCAAGATAAACACAAAGGCTGTTAAGACAAGAAGGCCAAATCAAAGCGACAATATTCAGGAAAAGAGGCACTGATCATAAGGTTGTGTATTCAAACCTCCATTAGAAACAAGTTAGTCTTCCAGTCTCAAACACTGAAATGCACCCCCCACAACAGGGTGTTAAAGATAAAACACACAAACACACACCCCACTGTATATATCTGTGACTAATCTCTTTCTTGATGAGTCACTTTCTGAGAAGAGGGAAGCAGTTTGCACACCACATGATCCCTGCCTTGGCCTCCCTGAGGCACTCAAACGCAGTGGAGAATCTGACTAACTGACCAATATGGTGAGTGACAACACATGAAAAGAAACAGTACCAGTCAAACACAGATGGTACTTTCGTGGCTGGAAGCACAAAAGATCAAAATACACAAGCACAGAACTTGTCTAGGCCCAAGGCACAACACAGAAAACCTTTAAAGCTGGGCAACATTAATGAAATAATTGTTTAATATATCAAAGCTATATATATATTGCATACTGTAAAAATTCAATTAATAGCAGAGTCCCAAATAGCTGCCTACCTCCTTTACTGGCCTGGTGTGGGAACACATTTTGACAAATAAACGCCTGCCTTTATTAAACTCCAAAGTTCTTTGGATGTATAAAACCTCTTAAACCCCGCGGGGTCGCCCGCTTTAGCTGCTTCTAAGCTGCTTAGATCGTTAACACAAATATTACTTTTTAAACGTATGATCAATATGTCAATATGGACATGCTGAATATCGTTAGATTCTCCACAATACCACTGTTAAGTTAATTTAACTGAAACAACAAGACCCAAAGTCTAATTCTTTTAGATTTACCGGTATAACCTGCATGGCTATAAGAGAGGAAAAGGGGAAAAAAGTGCTGACTCGTGTTAATTTTGAAGCACTCATTAATTTTGCTGTGTCTGTTCCTTGATTATTTATATTCCTTTAGTCTGTAAGGGTCCACCGATCAAAACAGCTTTTCAGAAAAATGTGGACGCCTCTCCCAAATAAAGGCAGGGTCAATTCAGTGATTTTATCAAATAAAAGCCCGGGCTATTATACAAAGTTTTACGGTACTTACTTTCAGCCTTAAAAGCAATTCGATCAGCTGCTCATGTTAGACCACTCAAGTATGCTACGGTGATTCATAGGTGAACAGTGTGTTGACTGGGCTATGAACTAATGAACTAGTTTTGGGTGCCATGGAAATTACAATAAAATGTATTGAAATGTTGCAGGTCCTCTTTTCACCCATCTGGTATTAGGAGTCACCACAAGCTGTTAAGGGAAAAAGTTACCTGAGCAGAATCAATACCTCTCAAACATCAACACGTCCACATAATTAAGCAACAGAATAGGTCATTTGTCAATGACTACAAAAACTAAAATATTCTGCTTCAATCCATATTTGTTTGCATTTAGTAGGGCTGCTCAACTATGACAAAAATCAAAATCACGATTATGCTGGTCAATATTAAGACCACAATTATTTAACATGATTATTAATTGACTTAGGAAAAATCATGCATTTGTTGAACTTTTAAAATTGAATGTGTATATGCAATACATGCATTGAGATAAAATCCCAAATAGCCCATGAAATAAGAAATACTAATTAAACATTAACTAAAAAGCATCTCAGAGGCGAGAAGATGACAGGAAGGCAGTGTTTCTCCAGGTTGACTGCTTTGGGGGGGTGGATGGGCCGCTGAAGGGGCTTCGTGTGTGCAGAGTGGAGCTGAGCAGGTGACAGTTGACGACACCTCTTCAATGTTGCCATGTTTTGTGTTGTTTTACTGTTTATTTTAAAGGTTAGCTAACATGGCGTTAGCATATTGCGATATAGCATACGGCTTATCGCAACAGCCCTACCTGAAGGTAACGATATAGGTATATAACGTTACGTGTGAAAAAGTCATGGTCAAACTACAAAAATGAGTTTGCTTGGCAATGTTGTTGACTAGCAGCCAGCAGCTAGCTTGCACTGACCACAAAGCTGCTGTTAGCGGCTCGCTGTGCAGGAGGGGAGGGACAGGAGCCAAACCAAGAGGCATGATATAGTTTAGTGATCACTATGAGTTGCGGAAAACGAATTTCAGTTAACTGTTTAATATCTTTCTTGAAAGTGAATAATGGAGAATCATTTTGTTAACTTAAAAAAAAAAAAATCTTAAAGAACTGAATTGAAAGATCTCCGCGAGTGCTTTTTCCTTTAGTGGTGACTCGTAAACCCCCTCCAAATAGACGACAGTAAAAGTAGAAAACGAGAAAGTAGTCGGCTTAAACAAGTCACTAAACTACATTTAAGAGTCTAAAGAAGCAAAGAGAGGAAAAGAGAGGCTGCACATTCAGCCGATCACACGACTACATCTGGTAATAAGCTGCAGTCAGTAAAATTAGCTGATCCACTGCTGTGCCACAAAGGCGTTAAATTGATATGATGGAACGCAATGATATAAAGTACATAAAAATGTACAGAGTAGAGTTAAAGGATATCAGAATATGAAACAAATGGAAAGCCAAGTTCGGTAATAAACTTGAAACAGTGACTAACAAGTCTGAGACCTCAGCTGATGTTGCGGGGCTGTTAAAATAATGCATAGGCTAGGTACATGCAGGCACATGAGGATAAAAAGAGGCTTGACCTTCTCTTTCTTTCGGTGTTACTTGTGTGTTTGGTTGAAATTTGGCATGAAATTTGAATTCTGTTTTTTACAATTTAAGCACATGTTCTCATTAGAGAGTGTGTGATCAATGTGATGGATGAATAAAATGTCTACAATTCAACAAGAATATAATAAAAAT